CCATAACTCAACTAATTTTAATCGAATTTTGAAGTGGCATACCTCTAAATGTTTCTGGCATAATTCTCTAAAAATCTGCATTCAAAATTGGAAATGAATTTTTTCTAAATTTTTTTGTTATTTTTTCTGATGTAGAAATTCAAAAAAATTAAAAAAGTCACAAGGCCAAAATGCATAAGTCCATAACTAAAACTATCTTAATCGTATTTTTTCACGCAATTTCTATTGATATTCCATTGATATGTCGCTTGCACTTTGACTAGCCGAGTAACGGGTATCTGATAGTCGGGGAACTCAACTATATTTTGTATTTTTTTGGGGCCAGCGTGTAAGGGGCTCCGGCTCTTGATGGCGGCTCATGTGGCATAACTGGGTCGTGAGCTCCGGGGAAGCCAAGCTTCCAGCGTGAAAATTGCAATCAATTTTATTATGCTTCCCGGTTGCAGCGCTCTCCTCAGTTTCAGATACGTATAGATATGTATGTATGTATAGCTGCACAATTGGGCAAATCAGGCAGAACGGCAGGATGCACGGCAGCCATCGCCATATACTGTGTGTTCATAGATGGGAATCGCGATAGTTGGCGGAAGAACGGAGACCCCGAGCGGGTTTCCTGTTTAACACGTGAGCGGAGGGGCAGACAGGTGGAGTGAACGGATGCCACGCCGATGGGGCTTTGAACGGCATTATCCTGAAGCAGGCCAATTGGCTGCCAGGAGGATTGGATCCAGAGCTCTAACTTAATCTGGTGCTTAGGTTACAGCAAATTAAAGTTAAGGCAAGTCGAACTAAATCACTGATTGAGTGGGGAAAAGGAAGTGGGGCCAAAAGGTAGCATGAAGCAAAATAAGGTCGAATAGTGTGACCATGGTAAGCAGTAGGGGTAAATTAATGTTTTGTGTAGGTTAATTAAGCAAAAGGTTAAGGTTAGATGCATACAACGGATATAAGAGCGTTCAGTGCTGCTTTTCATTGAACAAAGTAAATATCTTTTAGCTTGATCTCTTTAAGCTGAAAAGCATTAAGTTTTGTAACATAGAAGTTGAATAAAAGACAATGTTATTAAACGAATATTTGAAAGACAAAGTTGAGGCGCCACCCAAAGATTATTATCAACCTTTGTTTAGAATAAATGGCAAAACTAGTTTCCGCTATAAGAATAGCTATAGATTTTTGATATTTATGAGGGCAATAACTGGCATTCAAGTGTATTCAAAGCCCAAACCGAAAGGCTTTTGAGTGGAGCTCTCTGTTGTTTCCACCAGCTTTAAAGGCTCACTCTCTAATGGAACTCTAATGCTGCCCAAATATTTCAATTAATACTCAGTCAGCAAACCACATTCATTTTGATCCCAATTAACTATCGCTTTGTTGGCAATTGTTACGTCGACACGAAGCCCTTATCAATGACTCCCGCGTTTGCACGCAAAACCCTCGACACAAGTACAAACAATAAGTACAACCGAACGCATTATCAAAACAATAAACAATTGATGGTATTTTGCCGGCGTTAACAACAACCACAACCATCTTCGAGGCATAAAAATCAATAAAGCACAAGCGCACAGAACGCAGTACGCAATTGCACGAAAGGAAACTGAAACAACTGAAACGCAAAGCAAACAACGCAAACAGCAACAAACTGCTGGCAAATAAATAAAAATTGCTTTATTTATTAAGCATTAAACAATAAATGGGATTATTTTTACCATCGCCGCATAGAAATGTTTGCTGGAGCAGGGCGCACAATGGGTCCAAATGGAGTTGGAATCGGGTTGATGAGGTGGAAGGAGCGGACCCAACAATCCGGAGTAGTACCCAACCCAACCCAAACGAATCCGGAGACCTCCGGAGTGCGAGAATAATAACAAATTCAAACACAGAAGCGGGACGATGAAGAGCTACCAAGATAAATAAATGCAAATCATTTTTGTTCCTCTGTTTCTTATTGTTCCATCTAGATGGAGACTGCGCACCCAGTGCATTTGGTGTGTGTGGGGTGTATTGGGTTCTACTAAAAGTGGGAACTTGATTGATAATAAATTAGTTATTGCAATTGCAGTTTCATTCTCTGACGTTGCCTTAATTGAAAGGGCTTGAAAATATTTCAATATAACAACTATTTTTCAATTTATTGATTTACCAAACTTAAATTAGGGAAACGAGTGGCAAGCAGGGTACTTCAACGCCTACCCCTTGTAATAGCCATCCCCACTTGTCTCTGCAGTGGAGTGTTTAGCCTCTCTAGGATTGGGGGATTGAAAAGGGCATTGGGAATAACGTTACAAGGGTGGCGATTTGGCCAAGACAATCCAGACTTGGCAGTTGGGGCCAACACCTAAGTTTGGGCAATTCAACTCATTTAAATGGAACGTTTCGGTGCATGGTCTTCTATTTTGCAAGCTGTTGTTGTTGTTCATGCCGCATTTGATTTCGGCAAATTTGTAACTGCCACTTTGCATTACCTTTTTTGTGCCAGCGTCCGACGGTCCGACCTTTGTACAAAAAAGGTAGCAAAAGTTTTGCAAGTGACAAATAGATTTAAATTCGAAAATACTCTCCTTTTTGCAGCCGGCGCTGTTTTGTTTCTGCCGCCGAGTGGAAGTTTGTGTTATGCAAAGCTCTATTGACAGCGGTCGTAAATCTTTGTAAAAGTGCTCGGGAACCCATGTCATGGGGGAAAAGCCATGGAGGGTCGAGATGGGTATGGCTTGGGCGTGAAAATGTGTGTACGAACATGGGAAAATCAGTTTTCAAGTTGGGGTTAACTCCGCCAACCAGCAAACTAAACCCCTTTTCAAACAGCCAACTGAGTGAATTTATCGGCTAATGGAAAAGTGAGCCGACTAGAAAGAAAGTCACTGGGAACCATATACAATATAGATTGAAAGAAGCGTGATAACTATAAATACCGAGGACTTGGACTTGGTAACCAAACAAATTTACTGATTATTTCCGTAATCAATATGCGCATGCCAAATGCTATTATCTAGCGATGTGACTCGCTAATTACCTGGTAAGATGGCAAAGTAAATATTCTTAGATAAAACACTGGCCATATCTTTGCGATTAAATGGCATGTACTTAAGTTATTCCTAGAACACCCTACTCGGTAATCGCGTACTATTAGCGCTCTATTTGTAGGGAGAAGTGATCTCATTTGGGCTTCCACTGCCTGCATTAAAATCTGTTTACATTGACTGGGCCCGGCTATAAAGGTTTATGTATGTGTATATGTATATAATTCGCTGGCCATCATTCGTGGGACTCGTATTGCGGCATTTCCAGGGAAATCAAAATCACCGGGGGCAATTACGAGGCACAAATGTTCACAGCTCCAGGGAAGCTGACGGATTGCATTTACAAATTAGCATTCTAATGAGCGGAGTGGCAGTGGCAGTGGCAATGGCATGGTGCATGGTGCATGGCAATTATGGCGCCCACTGTTCATCCCTTTGTCTATTCGCAACTGGGCCAGAATTCGTTGGAAAACCAAAAGTCAGCAGTACTTGGCCTTTGCGTGTTTTGGCCAATTGAAATGGGGCTGCACTGCAGCACTGCAGTTGAGGGCCGCTTATGAATGGAAGACAGCGACAACTAGGCCGCATCCAGTTGCAGGCGCCCCCTTTTCCGCTTCCTGACCACGCTCATGGTGTCAGCTTCAGAAGTTTTCGGTTTTTTTCGGGGGGATGGGCGTTGGAGCGCTGGGGGGAATTGAAACCAAAAACCGGTTACTGTGCGTTGAAAAATTCTCAACTTTTGTTTCACATACACAAAACGGAGTTTATCTTTCGGTTCTGCTGGGGTCCTCGAGCTGCCTGTCTCTCTCCCTCCGACGGCTTTGTTGTTTATCAAAATTCTTTGAAATGCACTCACACACACACACACACCGCTGCTTTGTCCCGCTCTTGCACACAAAATTAAATTTTTTCCTTTGGTTTCTTTTTAATTTTTATATGGCTCTTTGGCCGATTCTGTGGCATTTTCTTCCTGCTCTTTTTTCTTGCACGCTCCACTGAACCTCGAACCAAGGAGTGCCCTTACGTGTTGTTCTTTCCGTTTGCACCCAGTGTTTCTGGCCATTGCAAGGGGTATATTGCTCCTAAGTCGCGTAAGAACTCTTTGAATTTGATCATCCGAAAAAACATACAAATCAGTACATGAAAAGATACCTGAAGTAGGCAACGATTTTGCTCGTGTTAATTTGGTACCTACACATCTAAGAAGTTCTGCTAACCACACATAGGGTAGCGCCGAGTCGTTTCCCGCAGCCTAGACTTCCTACTTGTTTGCCTGCTGCTGTTGGCTAGTAGTTTCGGTTTGTTTAGGAGCGGGGTCGGTTCTTTTAAACGCAGCACACCGAGAATCGACTCCCAGTCGGAGTTTGAGCTCGAGTTTGAGTTTTAGTTTGTGCTGGGACCCGGGCTGAACAGAACATGCATGTAAAAATGCAACGTAACTTGGCCAGGGGACAGTGGAGTGGGCTGGAACCAGAGTTCCCAGTTCCCCGTTCCCAACTTACCAGTTACCGACCATGTGCTGCGGTTGATGACTTGCATCGGGCCCAGAGACTGACTGACTCTGGGACTGGCTCTCTGGCTCTCTGGCTTTCTGGCAGTCCGACTTTGACTTTGGCACTGGTTAGACTGGCTGGCTGGGAATTTGTCGGGGTGGGGGAGTTTCAGCAGTTTCCAGGACAGTCGAACTGGGATCGGTGGAGTGGCATTGTGGCCTCTACTGATTCAGTCTGCCTTGGCTTTTGACTCCTCGTCCAAGAGCAGGCGGTTTCCTCTGATGTTTGGTTACTTCATAGCCTGTTGCAAAATTAGTGTGATCACAGCCAACAGATAACTCATGCCGCATAGGGATGCTTTGACAAAGTCATTTGGACACGAAAGGCAGTCGATTTTATTGAATTTTCAAATTACTCATTTAGCATGAGAACCAATTATCTATGTAAAAATTGGAAAAACGTATGATAGAATCCAACATGAAGAGCATACAGGCACCGCTTGAACTTTAATTAGGTTTTACATTGAGTTAATGGCTAAAAAAGAATTGCAATTTCCAGAATTGGATCACTTGAGGTTTTTAATCAGGGCATCGGTGTACTCGGAGCATTTGGCCTTGCCTCCCAGATCCATGGTGCGGATATTATCATCCCTAATGGTCTTCAGCACTGCCTTCTCGATCTTGTCAGCATGCTCATGCAGTCCGATGTAGTGCAGCATCATCACGGAGGAGAGCAGCAAGGCAGTGGGATTGGCCAAATCCTTGCCAGCAATATCCGGAGCAGTTCCGTGAACCGACTCAAAAATGGCGCCATTGGTGCCAACGTTTCCCGACGGCGTCAGACCCAATCCTCCAATCAATCCGGCACAGGTATCCGAGATGATATCCCCGTACAGATTGGGCAGCACCAGCATGTCGTACCGCTTGGGATCCTGGACGATATTCAGGCAGACGGTGGTCATGGTTGACTCCTCGTACTTAATGCCCGCCTGGTCCATTTTGCTCTTATACTTGGCTGCCATTTCCCGGACGCAGCGCAGGAATAGCCCGTCCGACATCCTCATGACATTCGATTCGGCCACGGCCGTAACCTTTTTCCGCTTCATAGCCAGGGCGTACTGGAAGGTGTACTCGGCCACACGGAGCGAGGCATTCCGAGTGATCAGCTTGATGCTCTGCACCACTCCGTTGACCAGGGTGTGCTCGATGCCCGAGTACTCACCCTCGGTGTTCTCGCGAATGGTCACTATGTCTACATCTCCGTAAACGGTCTCCACGCCTGGCAGGGATCTGCAGGGTCGGATGTTGGCGTACAGGTTGAACAGCTGGCGCAGGGTTAGATTCAGGGAGCGGAAGCCAGTGCCCACGGGCGTCATCAGTGGACCCTTGAGACCAACTTTCGTCCGGTTCATGCTCTCGATCACCTGCTCGGGCACCGAATTCATACCCTTGCTATTTATCACTGGGGTCACGTCCACAGGCTCGAAGATCAGAGGTGCTTTTGCGGCCTCAAGGATCTTTATGACTGCCATCGAGATCTCCGGTCCGATGCCATCGCCGGGCATTAGGGTTATGACCCTCGGTCCACCTGCAGCCTTTCCACCCTTGCCTCCAGCTCCACCTTTCTGACCTCCTGTTGGTCCCGAGGTCCCTGGTGACGATTTACCAGGAGGCTTACTTGCTGTCGGTGGCTTACTGGCGGACTTTTTGCCTGGTCCTGCTGGTGGTTTACTAGGCTTACTTGATTTGGTTGGTGTTTTGGGCGGTGTGCTGCCTGTTGGTGGTTTTTCCGGAGATGTACTACGAGGTTTACTTCCCAAAGGTGGTTTCTTAGGCGGTTGGCCGCCCGTTCCGCTAAATGGATTATTTTCCCTTCTAAACGGCGGTCTTGCAGGATTTTTGGGTCCTGACGGAGTACTGGGTCCTGTAGGAGGTTTGGTGGGTGGTTTCCCTCCCGTTGGGGGTGTTCCAGCACTTTGGCTTCTTTCGGGCTGCTGGGAATGAATCCCTGAAGGGGTATTGGAGTCCCACTGTGCTACACCCGTAGAGTTGATGAACTCTGAGAACGTTCTGGGTATATCATCCTCATTCCCGTCTTTTCCTGATTGATCTGAAGCCTGTGTGGTGCGGGTGTCTGGAGTTGTATCCTTGTCGGGAGTCTTTTTTGATAATCCTGATAGGCTGTCTGACTGCGATGATGATTCTTGAACTGGTAGCTTAGTTGTTTCAAAACCTAATGGTCCTTTTTTGGGTATATCAATCTGGCCCATTTTCGGTTTGGCTATACGAGAGCCCACTGTAAACTTAATTAGCTTTCCATCACGATTCTCCGGTGGTTCGCCAGAACCTCCTTCACTGGAGGAGCTTCCAAAGAATCTTTTTACTGAGAAACCCATTGAATTACGAGGTGGCTGAATGCGAGTCGGAAGAAGCACTTCACCCTTTCTAGGAAGAAGATCGGGCACTTGGCGGCAAGGATTTTGTTTAGTCCCTGGAGCGCGATTGTGCCGGATCCTTGGAACTTGCTGTCGTACTGGGATATCTCTTTTTTCGTAGTCTTCAGAGCGCCTACGACGCCGCCAAGATTCGTAAAATGGCTGTCGGCATCGAACCAGGGCATCGTCCAAAAGCCATAGAATCCTTCCAGTAGTTTTTAAGCCGACGGTTCTTGGCCGCCCGTGAAGAGCAGACCATTTGAACCAATTGCCGGACATGGTCAACTGAAATTTTGATCAAATTACAGCCTGGAAGTGTGTTGTTGAGTTTTTGAAAGAAAGGTACGATCAATTGGTAGTCGGATGACGTTTCGAGCAAGGAGATAGTGTTTAAGCCGTCAAGTAATTTTCAAATTTTGACTTTTATAGAACAGATCCTAGTTCCCTAAAGAACCTTGGAATTCTAAAAATTCATTTGCCAATGACGGAAGTCAACACTTGGCCGAGTGGCCGCGAGTTCCAGCTCCAATTTGCATAGCTTTTAGAGCCCCGTTTTTGTTTCATTTCTTTGCCATTTGCTTTTGGCGCCTCCAAGTTTGGCGACTGGCACTGTGGCCAAAACCGAAGTGAAACTTTCTTGGCCAAAAAAGCACGCGACGAGCTCAACCCTTTCGCTTTCCACTTGTAGACGCTACGGCGAAAAGGACTTTTCCGTGAATCGGTTTCGTTTTGTTTATTCCTATTTGGGCTAAGCTAATTAAATTACTTTTTCGCCAGCAATTCCATTTTCGAAATTTGTTTGCTTTGAAGGTCGACTTTCCTTTAATTGAAAAAGTTTCACTTCCACCCTGGTAGAGAAGAACTCGCAAATGATTTAATATGAAAATTTCCGTCATGTATTTAATTAGACGAGAGTGCTCGACACTCGGGTTTCCCAGTAAACGAAATTAGCTGCGAAAGGCAATCAAATTATGCACAAAACCCTCATTTTAATGGGCACACCTGCCGACATATATGTGACCGATCCGCCAGACCAGACCAGAGCAGACCAGCCACGCCCTCCGCCCCCGTCACGCTGTTGTCACTCGGCATAATCATATTTCAACGGATTAGCATAATTTTAACCGAAAGAATACGTATATTAATAACGAAAAGTGAATGGTGGCATCGAGTTGCAGACAAAGCAGCCCTCCCTCTCCAAAATTGTATTTTTTATTAAATTTTCCTACTGTTCCGTTGAAGCTAAGCTCGCATTTATATTCATATTTGGTGGATTTCTGTACCGCTCAAGCGTAGGGGGATTTTTCATACCGCTTTTGGATCGCCTTTGTTTTTATGATTATTTTTCGCTTTTAGTTAGACAGTGTTTGGCTAACCAGCGCGTTGGCGTTGAATCGCGCATTTATTATTAGGTGATTGATGATCCCTGGCTGGACTTAACTCATCCACACTCGAACACCTCCGATATTATAATTCGCCATGGGGTCGCATCGCCAAGCTGTCTAGTTGACTGCGCATTCGAGCACCTTATCTGGGAACGACTTACCCTATATCTGTATCTATGTATCTGTATCTTCGACATTAGTGTTTGCCCGGCGAGGGTAAACATTTGTGCAGATAACATTTCCCTGTTTGTTCTGACTTTTAGTTCGAAATACGCACCTGCAAATGGAGAAGAACAAATAGATATTGCGAATTAGTCAATCATCGGTGTGTGTAAATTGGAGTGCTAAACTTTGGGCCTCGTGCTAAAATGCCAAATGTCTGAATTCAGGGAATGGAATATTTTACTTGCTCATTCTTATCTTCTTTTGCTTATGCTTCTATTCTTGTGCTTAAAAAGATTGTGGACACTAAATCCACAAATTGATTTATTCTTTAATAAAACACTTATTCTCTAATAAAATATTCTATATATTCTAAACCTAAAAATATTTCTTTTGATTTGTTTTAATCTTCACTTCCCTGCCGCCCTCTAAATATATTTAACACTTTTGTTATTGTTTGCACTTACTTCCATTCTTGTTTACACTTCAGCTTAGTGTGCATAAAAAGAAACTGGCCAAGAACGAAAAAACCTCTGTCCAAAGTCAATAAACCGTATAAATGTACAATAACAAAAAGAGGCAGGACAAAAAGGCCGAGCAAATAGGGGAACAAAATAAAAAGAGCGCGTCGGATGGCGATTGAATGAAGTCGAAATACTCAAGAAAAACAAAACAAACCTGGCTTAGCGAAAAGCTCTACCAACAAAATCAAAGTGCCTTAGGTCATTTTGAGAAATCATTCACACATGTGATGTGTGTGTTTTCATAATTTTATTGTGCCCTTTGTTGATTTCCGATAACAAGACCAGACCGCCAACGCCATATTAACCAGGCTTTCGGGGCACTTAGGACCAAAACACAGAAGATTGCGAAAACAAAATCAACTCCGGCAATTCGCTAGCCTTTTTGGCTCATTGGAGGGCTTTTCGTGTTCCACCCCCTCTATCTGTCTCTATGTCTGGCCTTTTTGACCAGTCCAATGTTTGTCTTTTGCTGTAGCTCGTCATAAAATGATTTATGGGCTTTAGGTGCAAATAATTGATTTATGCGCGGTCCCAGACATGGCGCAATGTAAATACGAGTTGGGGACTAGAAGGCGACTTAGAGATACATATTATTTGAGCATATTCAAGGTATTGAAATCTCCCAAACGAAAAGGTGCGAAAAGAGTTAGTAGCACAAAAAGAATGTGTTTACCAAATTATACCAACTGAATGAGATGCTTTCCACCGACAAACCGAATCCGATTACACGCATTATAAAGCCCGGGCTAACGCCACTCGGAGCGGAAATGCCAACTAGTTACTTATGTATCCAGATATCTGCATTTGTATCTGTATCTGTATCGGCGTTCGAGTTGGACTCGAGTTCCCCCATTCTATGCCGATGCTGTGCACACTTCACTAGGCATTAACCTTTACCTTTTCCGTGAACATAACAATCCGAAAGTAAAGAATCAAGAACAACAACGCGCCACTGGCATCCATGAATCAAAAAAACACAAAAACGAAAGAATCCGGCGACGTTTGTACCTCACAGTGCTTGTGTGTGTCTGTTCATTGGAAACAACGATTACGCAGCACAAAAGACATGGACAAACAATGAGCCAAGAACTCTAAACGATGATGGAGATCCAGCAGAGGTATCGAGGGCATATACGAGTATAGTATCGCATCCGAGTATTTGGGATATTCGGGACGGGTCTAAGTGTTTACAGTGAGTAAGAGTAAGTCGTCGGCGAATTTGGCTTTGACTTCACTGCTCCTCGTGCTGCTGCTGCATCATCGTTGCATAAGCAGCGAGTTGTCCCTACCATCTTGACCAGAGCAAATCGGTCAAAGGCAGTGGAAAATTGTATCGCCCATAGATGCATCGCCTTAGAAGCAAATGCAGATATACTTGTAGATACGGATACATTTGCCGATACAATTGCTGTCTGTAACCTTTTGGCGTTTGTTTGTTTATTTGATGAGTTTCCTGGTGTATGTTTAAAAATAGATGCTGGCAGGTACCGCAGAGCGTGAGATACAAATGTATCTACTACCTGTCCGTGCTGCTGCCCAGACGAATTTCACACATTTTATGGCCCCTAAGAGGGCGCATCCAGAAGATACACACAAAGGGGCCAGTGCTAAATGTTTAATTGGTTGCCATTCGAGGCTTATCTTATTGCCGCCAACCTACAGGTTGTCTTATCGGGAAATGCATTCCAGCGATATCAGCAAGGGGACAGCAGGAATGAGGTGGTATCACGGCAGGTCTGAGCGGAAGAGTCTAACAAGTTGACAACTTCCTTTGGACAAGCTTTGTACATACTTAATTGCTTCCATTTTGGCTTGATTCTAATTAAAATGTGCGGACAGCAAGACGACCTCTTGATGGCTGGACGCAACCCAAACTGGTTCAGAAAGTCAAGTTAGGCCAAGCTAAGCAGAACTGAACTGAACTGAACCCGTCATGTCTGAAGTTCAGAGTCTCGAGGCATGAATGAAAATGAGATATGTATTTACAGAGCCGCGGACAAAATTGTCACTACCGCTCATGTTTTGTTATGCAGAACGGTGGGTTCCTGGAAATCGTTTTGTTCCCCTCAATGAACACACCTGAGAATGAATGAGAGTTGGATGGATGATATGTGCTTAACCAATTTGAATTCGAGCAGCCGACAACATCTGGATCCATGGATCTCAGCAAACTACAAGATACTTTGCGCACGCAAACCCATAAAGCCAATCAATGACATCATTCCGCCTTCGAAACAACCATCTGAAATTAAACAGAACTCGAACACCGAACTGAGCACTGAACTGAACACTGGAAACCGAATCGAGCCACTCTCGAATTGCCTTTTGTATTGAGGTCAGATGTGTAAAAAACACAAATTTAAAGCAAACATTAAGAAAGTGGCCACATACAAAGGCAAGATTTTTATGCTTCGCTGTCTGTTTTTTGCTTTTTTGCCTTTTTTATATGCGTGTGAAATCGATGGGCATAGGCGTCGTTAATTTTAATTGAAACTAATTAGCGCAAATATAAAAAAATCTAAAAAAGTTTTGGGCATTTCGTAATATCGTAATGGTCTTGAAGGCTGATGGAGACCTTTGCTTTATAAAATTCAGAAGAAAACGGAGTTGTATCAATTTATAGGAGCATAAAACTCTTTCCTAAGATTGATGATAAACCTTTGAGTATCAAGGTGTAGGAAGCGGACTTATTGTATCTTATCTATAGTTAAGCTTTATACTATTATTTAACGATTTTATGATGCCTTATAAATGTTGAATGTTGTTCTTAATAAATATTGCTTTGGCAAAGGTAGTAAAGAAAATTGAACTACAAAGAAACTATAAAATAGAATTGAAGAAGTTTAAGTAGCAATTTTAAGGTGCTTAGATTCTGAAATGCGTAATCTTTTTGAAAATAATTCAATTGAGTTTTTAAGGGAACTAAACGCAGTGATCATTCCATTTCATTTATTAAATCCTTAGCCATGATTTATTGATGCCAGACGTATTTTACAGACTTATCCAAGTGTTTTTCCCACGTCCCAGCTTTTCTATGGCATTAACCGAAGACGTGCCGCATTGAATTACGATTAAGCCAACTTTTAAGCCCGATCCCATCGACTATTTCCACTTGATTCGGTGGAAAGTGGAGTGGAAAACTCATTTCTAGCTATTAAGCAACTGGACGAAACCTTCCTGAAATACTTAAAACGCAATCGTAATTAGTTTTGCGTCCAGCACCAAATCAATTAGGAATTTTTTTCTGGCTTAGCGTTTAATCGATTGGGAGAAAGAGTCGGCAATT